GGGGCGGCGCGAAGCGTCACCGCAAGATCCTTCGTGACAACATCCAGGGTATCACCAAGCCGGTATGTCGCGCCATTACCACCACATAAGTTCCGTGAAGACCTGAAGAATGCTGCCCATTGTCTCAGGCCATCCGTCGTCTTGCTCGCCGTGGTGGTGTGAAGCGTATCTCCGGCCTCATCTACGAGGAGACCCGTGGTGTCCTGAAGATCTTCCTCGAGAACGTACGTCGTGTCATACTCGCGCTATTGTACACGTCCGTTGACTCTTTCCGCTGCAGGTCATCCGTGACTCCGTATGTATCCACCGCAGTCTCAGTCTCAGAGTACCCCGTAATAGGTTGCTTATCAATTCCCCGCCCTACAGGTCACGTACACTGAGCACGCCAAGAGGCAAGTTACCTTTTCTCACGCATCATCTCTACACGCTGACATCATGCGCCATCCGCAGAAAGACCGTCACGGCCCTGGACGTCGTGTATGCCCTCAAGCGTTCCGGCCGTACCCTCTACGGTTTCGGTGCTTAAGCCACAGTTCGACGTGCCTTGCATTGACCTCGAATCACGAGCGACTAGGATCCTGCTGCCTTGTTTGCCTTCATATTTTCGCTCCGGAATTGTACTTCTACGTCCAGCATATGTCACTGTGATTGTATGACATGCCATTTACACGAGGCTGTACGCGTGAGTTATCTAGCGTATGCCGATTACGACGGCTATGCGGGGAGCAAGATAGGAGAGTGCGACCGATGGAGTACTCCGTGAGCGCTCCGTGACCTAGTTGTATCAGCCGAGCCCGCGACAATGCCTTCATTGCAATTGGCAGACATACGGACCAGCTTGGTGGGTATCGGTTGCGTACGCGTATGTCCTGAATCGGAGGCTTCAAACCTGTGTGGATTCTCCAATTCCCCAGCAGTACCAGGGTTCAGGGATTAAGCATGGTGCTATCACCCTGTTCTGATGGTCTGCTAGCATGCATAAGTTAAGGCTTCGAGATATCGGAGATGTACCCACTGGATAATTTTCAAGACTGACTCTAGCCGTCTTCAACTAGCAGGCTCGACTGGTGGAAGTGCGGGCTGATGCGATGATTGTACACCCTTCCAGCCCATGCAGACCCAGTATGCCTCCGCAGACTCTGCACGACTGGACGCGGGTTTGAAGTACGTCACCAGTTTGAAGTTCGGGTCCAGGCACTCCTTGCGGAACTTGCCTGAAGACGGATGCACAAAGTGCTTCAGCCTAACCCAGAGGCATACTATTAGCCTATACACGAGAGAACACGGGACTGTATAGCCAAGACGTACACAAGCACACCCGCCTTGCGCTTCTTGGCACTCTCAGCCGTACGCAAATGTCGTTTCGTGAACTCGAACACGCTCTCCGAGAGCTGCAAGCTGGCATGTCTGTCCGCCGTCACGTTCCCGGTGAAGTTCGCGGCCATGTCAGAGAGGATGATATCCGCCTTGCCATCCGTGCCGGGCTCGTTCCGCATAAGCTGGCCGATGACCTCGTCAGCTTCCGGGGAGAGGAAGTCCATTTGCAGCGTCTTGACTCCGAGTATGGGTTCCATGCGTAAGAGGTCGACGGCTATTATGGTGCCTCGCCCTACCGGACGAGGGGCTTCGTCAAGATCCTCAGCCAATGGGTCGAAGTCGAGGTCGTCTTCTTCTTCCTCCACCTTCTTGCCTTTCCCGGCCTTTTTCGACTTCTGGCTCCATCCCTCGTCTTTGGCCTTCCCCGCTCGTGCTGCCTCCTTGTCCTTCAGCCCATACCCGGAAACCACGCTCTTCGCCGGCTTGCTCGCCACAGGAAAAAGCACGTCCTCCGCCCACCCAAGCTTCGCCGACGCAACCTGGCTCCACCCTCCGGGCGCTGCGCCGAGGTCGACCACGGTCCGTACATGGTTCTGGTCGAGGAAGTGGAACGTGCTGTCGAGTTCGAGGAGCTTGAACGCAGAGCGGGAGCGGTAGTTCGCCGGGAAGGCCATGCGGGCCTTCACATAGGGATCACGGTACTGTCGCGCGAGCCATGCACGCGAAGACGGGGGAAGCTTGTGCGACAAGAGAGGGCAGGTGGGACGAAAGGGCATGCAGTCGCAGTACGAGTGAGGTGCGAGGTGCAAGTGTGCCGGAATGCTAGGCGCCCAATATTCTGCATCACAATATTCGACTGCGAGCGCTTCTCATCTCATACGGTACTTGTATCGTGCTCTGATTATGATGGTCCGCTGCGCACGCGCGTGCATTCGCTGCCTTGTTTGACACCCCCGTCAAACAGTATGCATAAGGAGACGATAGACACCGACGATGATTAGAGTGTATCCGGGACTCGGTGAGGGCCGATGTCATGTCGAGATCACTGTGCGCATTGAGTACTACATTGGAAGTTGGGAATATTAGGATGTACGCAAAGCGTCATCATACATCTTCAAGGCATAGGCATAAGCGACTTTCACATGATAAGGGGATCACTATCCCATCAAAGAGTTACAATCGAGGACAAGCAGTAAGCAGTATGGTATCACTCAATTTCCGTTGTTTGCTAGCAGGTTCGGCGTACCATCCGCTGGAAATTCATAAGTAGTCAGTACGTGCATACAAATTTCGTTGGCACGACGCGTCGAGTACTCACGAATATCAGACAGGGTACCTGGCACAGCGTCCCCCTTCAAACGAACCTTCATCTCTGCAGGGCTCACGTTGCCTTTCAAACTGATCGAGTATGCAACCAGGCCAGCAACCTACCACCCATTCTGTCAGCAAGTACCGTTGACCCAAACCTCGCAAGACTCACATGAGGGGATGCAACGGAGGTCCCGCTGGCTACCGTCTCTGCCGTTGTACTGCCGTTGGTGGCCGTCTTTATGCACGCTCCAGGAGCGAACAGGGTCAAGACTTCCCCATAGTTCGACGTCTTGTGGCGCATGTCGTCCCCGTTGCATGCACCGACAGTAATTGCCGATGGGGCCCTAGCTGGGCTCACATCGGCTGCGTCGCACTACATTAGGCGAGCCTAAGCATGTCAGTGCTTCACAATTATCTGCGTTACTTACCGACTTATTTCCCGCAGCGACGCAGACATGTATTCCTTTGCTTGTCAGCTATGCAAGCCCCCCTTAGAATCCGTCCTTTGCTGCAGCCAACGAGGTGCGTACCTTGGCAACACCGTCGTCAATGTCTGGGGTCGGTTGGAAGTACCCAAAACTGATGTTAACCACGGCCGGTCTCTTCGTAGGGTCTGCCGTCTCGTGTACCCAAGCCATTCCAGCCTTCCTGAATATCAAGCTTCTGTGAGTACACCTAGTGGGGAGTAAGGGGAACGAACTTACGCGACGGACACCGGAGCACGTCTGATTCATGGGAATTGTGTAGTAGATCAGTATTACCGTCCCGCTCATGGACCACACTTTGATACGCGCACCCATCCGCATTGTGAGTCTTTACAGCAATTATGCTCGCTTCCTTTGCGACGCCGTAGCGTGTTCCCGCAGCAACGCCGGCGACCTGCGTGCCGTGCCCAGTTTCGTCCTCTTGCTGTACATCCCGTCAGCCAGTTTACTCGGGTACCTGATACATATACCGTCGGCATACTGGAAGATCCGGGGCGACCCACCCCCACTTGGCTCTACCGCCAAATTCAACCTAGTCCCGCGACAGCTCCAGTTAGTTAATGGTCAGTGTTGTACCCAGGCGAGTCCGCGCTCACATGTTCAACGTTGACTCCGCTATCTGCAGTAGACGAGGCCTATCAGATGGCTATAGTGACAGCGGTGAACAGTGACGTACCTATAATGAAGATATCCACGCCCTTCCCCGCAGCATTGAGGTCGTAGGTATACTTGTAGGTCAACTTCGATTTTTGGCTCAGCCTGTTCAGAGCCCACGTCGCGTCGTTCCTGAAGACCTTGGTAAGTATACGCAAGATACTCTCAAAATGCGGGCTTACTGCACAAAGGTAGTGAAGAGTGTGCCGATCGCATCCTAATCCAACAGGGCATGTGTTTAGTAAGCCTCAGCGTGGGCCTCAGCCAGGACAATCAGCGTGCACCTCTGTGATGCTCTCGACCTCTGGTGAAGCGCGTAGGACCTCGAGTGTTGGCTCGTCGAAAATCCCCGCGAACGCGTTGTCAAACCTAGAAGGATAGTCGTGCGTGATGGTCGAATTCGCGCCTAGCTGTCCCCGGAGAGTCCTGAGGTAGCGCGCCTTGTCCGTGCCATCTTTAAGATGGACGATGTAGCTGTTCTCCTTCTTGTCGCCGTCGACACGTTGGATCTCCACGAGTGCCATGGGTGCCGCACCTGAAGACATTCTTGAGGATATGAGAGTGGTTGGGTAGGCTCCGGGTCACGGATCGTAGTCAGTGTGCTCTAGTGTCCTGTCATGACTCTAGTGCGGAGCCTTGGCTTTTATCCTGAGCAGCAGCCTCAAATGCTATGCTCCGCCAAGGCACATTTCCGGTGAAGGGTCACTTTACAACATTGCTGAACCGGCCCTAAGGCCTGTATGACATTCAAGGCACCTCTAGTACATGCGTGCGGGTCACTTCCGAACCCGGAGCGTTCCTACCCCAAGTCCGCTGTCAGTACCTGTCAATTTGTCTATCAATGAAGGTACTGCTCTGGTGGGTGCCTCAACTTATCCTCCAACGAGCCGGTAAGGTGACTCCGCTAGTTGACCTGGTCGGCTTCCAGCGCGAAGGAAAACGTGGTACTGACTTGAACGCCCTGCGTTGGTGCCATAAGTTGACTGAACCATTCTAAGTCTTGCCCACTGATTTGTTACTAACTCTCAATATGAAGGACGTCTAGCACCTTTGGATCGGCGTACACTTGCATCCTCTAGAGCTTGGGGTCGACGTGAAGGGTGATGGCAAGAAGAGGACAACTTCAATGCTTTTACGAAAAGTTGATTTCGATACCATTGCGGTGGGGATCATATTGGGTACATGATTTTGGCGCCAACGATATGAAATTGCTGTGAGGGGGGTAACCAATGTGCTTGGATGGCTCAGTTGGTTAGAGCGCAGGTCTCATATTTCAAATATGACCGCCTTCTGGGTGGGTAATCCTGAGGTCGTGAGTTCGATCCTCACTCCGAGCATTTTTGCCCGTACTTCTCCGCTGGTGCGAGTGGCCGTCAAGTGTGACGTCAGTTTGCGCCAGTCTGCTTCAGCTTTTGGCACTCATGACCATGAACAGTATTGTACAGTATATTTACTGCAGGCCAGTACCCTGCCAAATGCCGCTCAGGAGATCGAGAAGCCTATATGAACTCAATCCGTTCGGTCGCAATCCCCCACATTCACACAGCACTCAGGAGTCGGTATCCCTTGCAGCTGTCCTCTCGCCACAGGTCGCAGACTCGACAGTTTACGAAGAAGGCTTACACCCATCCCATAACAAGCATGGCCCTCTCTCATGACGAGGGAAAGCTCGACCAGCTCTACCCCGCGCCCTCCCATTCACCATCGGTTCAAGCCCCAAGACGTCTTCCAGGGTCGACGCCCGAGTCTACATCTACTCTGATCAAGGTATTGAAGGACAATCATGTCAAATGGCACATCTTCTTCAACGACAAGGGGTTCCATAAGTAGCTATCTCCCTCTCTTATATCCACAGCCAAGTTTGTCTTGATATATGCGTTAGTCATGCCTCCCATCACCTCCTTGCGCTCTTCGACCTCGGCGGGGATGGTCCTAATATCGAGGCAGCGTACGAGACGCACACCTCCTATCAGCGCCCAGCGTTCGAGTCCCCTCAGCCAATCACCCAGCGCAACTTCCATGAACACCTGGGCGACGAGAAGTCAGTCAATTATGTACTGCGAGAGTGATGTACCCGCTCACCGACCTACCGCAGTTATTACAATGCCTACCTGAACTTCTTCACCGATCGTCTCCTTGAACAGGGAGCGGCCGCAACCATCGAAGAGTATATATTCTCACCCAGGGTCAACATCGAGCCTCCGGCGCCCGGGCAGCCTCCTATGCAGATGGCAAACCGGTTCCTCTCCGGTCTTCTCCATTGCCTCATTCACACTGGGTATGGTTGTGAATTTGGCCTGCTTGGGCAGTTGGCCGAAGGTAACATTGTCATACTAGATCTACGCTACGAAAAATAGCTGAAGCTGTCTACTAGGTTTGGCGGAGACCGCGGTTCATAAGCCGCTTGCACCAGCGTTGACGCCGCCGACATTGATGAAGTACGTAGGTGCTGCCACCTCCGACCTGACCAACGCCACGCTCTCGGCCGCCAGCAACCTAGTTCCGCGATTCGTGCTCGACCAATTCCGCCGCGTCGTCGGTCCCGCGAAGCCGGTGACTCAGAAGGGCGTCCATGCACTGTCGCTAGTCTCGCGCATCATGCACGACGACTTCTACTCGTACAAGACGATTGCGCTGCCGCCGCCAGTCAACAGCGAGGAGGACACATCGCTTGAGCGCACGCTCCACCTTCGTGGCGATCACCTAGCTGAGATCGCAAAGGAGTGGACCGTTGATGGGACGAACGCGGCCGAGGTCGAGAGGAAAATCGAGGAGTTGTTCTGGACGAACGTGGTCATCTTCGGTATCGCCGGATGGGGCGGCCGCGAGAAGTCGAAGACGGGAAAGTTCAACGGCGATTTCTTCTTGTGAGCATATACGTCCCGATCCAGACGTTGACCAACGGTCATTCACGCTGACCTTTCTCCCTAGCCTTCACCTCGTCACATCCGTCCTCTTCCTTCCCTCAATAGTCGCGTATTTATCTCCGACATCCACATCCATCCTGCTGCGCACCTACCTCCTCAACACGCTCGCGCTCTACGTCGCACGTGGCCGTCCGGCCTTGCCCGTCGCCGAGTTCTTCGACACCGTCACCCCCACGCCCACCCCTCCCGCCGCGTCGCTCCCGCACACCAAACCCGCAGACGGGACGCTCATTGCGGACAACCCGACGCCGAGCCCGTGGTTCGCCATTCTGCAGAGCACGCTCGAGCATCCGGACGACCACTTGGTCAAGCTGCAGCGCTCTCTCGCGCACTTCTCTGCGCTCTACGGCGCGACTCCCGCAGGGTATTTGAAGGAGTTGGGCGTGGAGCTGGAGGGCGTGGAGAGGGTCGACGGGTCGCTGTTTGTGCGCGTTGCCGGACTCGCGATGGAGAGGGTCGGGTGGATGAGAGAGGGCGAGGAGAGGGACGAGTGGGACTTCGACGGGTTCTTCCATTGAGCCTGGTCATGAACAGCTGGTAGTCTGTAAAGAGTAGTTTGTATTATGTGGCGACATCACATGTTGTACGATATGTAGTTTTGCTCGTGTACAGTAACGCTAGCCTTTCAAAATGTAGCAGTGAACGGGTTCGGAGCATTATGATGGCACAGCTCTTCGCGGGGGCAAAAAAAATTCCGACACGGGGAATCGAACCCCGGGCTATCGCGTGAGAGGCGATAATGTTAGCCACTACACCATATCGGATGTTGGATGTTGTCTTTGTTGACAGAACATATTGAGACGCGGCATGTCAGACAAGACTCTGCAGGAGCATCCAACTGCACTATAGCTATAGTAACTCTACTGTGAATCACCCTGCGAGCCGTGGCAAGAGGCCACTCGCAGCCTTCCAACCATAGGAATACATGTCCAAACGAGATCTGCGTGAGCGAAGGCGGGGGGCTTCAACAAAAGACACTGTAGCATGCCGTGCCCCTCGTCAGTATGCAGGGAAACCTATAGCCGTCCTGGATGCATCGCGACGTACCTGCTGCGCAGTACCCAGCTCCGGGGGCTTCACGGACACTGCATCCTCTCCAGCATGATGTTGCCTGCACCGTTCTCCCCTTCACGGCACTGCACGCAGAAGACGTCCCGCGTCTCGCGTCTGAAACCACGGTAGATGAAGACGAGCCTTGTCAACTTCCTGCAGCGCAGCAAGGCTCGCGGGTGATAGGCCAACAGGTACGTGATGACCGTTTTGACCGAGATCTGTGGGTGGATCCACGCGTAGACAGCTCGCATCAGCTAAGTCCGAAATATCGGGGGAAGAGAGACGCGTACCGTCTCGTGCACACGGATCTCGAGGAATTCGAGCAAGGGAAAGGTGGCGGGGATAGCATCGATGTCGAACGAAAACGCGAGACCCAAGACGAGCCCAGTAGGGTCGTGGTTGACGGCGAGCTCGAGGGTGTGGACCAAGGGGAAACCCACGAACGCTACCGGCAGCGAAGGCACGCCAAAAACGCGGAGCTCCGCACTCGGCGAGACGGACAATGTGAGGAGGGTAGACGAAAACGCGTCTGACCTTGCGAGGTAGTGCAAGAGGCTGAGCCCCGAGCACATGTTCCGGAGCGTCAGCGGGGTTTCGGCGAAGCGGTCACCGACTTCGGGCTCGATCGCCCAGGCGGGTAGGTGCAAGTCGCGAAGGGTGCGCGCATGACTGGCGAAGAAGACGAGGAGCGCGTCGGCGTGGGCCATGTCCAGCATGAAGTCGGGCATGATCGCGTCGCGGTTTACCAACTGGAAGGTCTCGAGAGCGGGGAAGTGGCACTCGCGAAGGAAGGATGTGATGCATCCGCTCAGAAATATCAGGGTGAGCGAGAGATGTGCTAGGTTAGGGAATACGTGTGAGAGCGACGGTGGGACGTTGTTGATGTTGTGGTCTAGGCTGATAAGGTCGAAAGCGAGTCCTTCAGGGCTCAGTATGAGTTCGAGCGTCTGGTAAGATGGGTAAACGCGCTAGGAGCACCGGTCAGAAAGCTGCGTGATATGTAAGTAAGGGAGAGGATACGTACCCCGAGTGATTCCAGAGCGTTGTCGTCTGAGGTGCAAACCCTACCTCGGAAGTGGCGCACGGATGAGGGAAGAGCCTCCATAACGCGTAGAAGCTCTGACCAGCCCTTCATTCGTGCGTAGTCAAGAGTATCGAAGGAGCGGAGGTTTGGAAACGCGCTCAGGAACGCATCATCCTGGAAGACGCAGCGTGCGCCAGGATATGGGCCACTTCGACGGACGTCAGACCGTAGGAGCTTGAGTTCATGTACCCATGATAGACAGTGGTCGCTTCTCTGGATTTTGGACCGGAATTCGGAGACGCCTTGATCCGCGAGTCTGACGGCGTCATATAGCACAGGGAGAGATAACTGATAGAATGTCTTGCATGTTATGGTGAAGTGCAGCACTGAAGGTTGTGGTAGTCGCGCAATGATGTCGAGGAGGAGTTCTGCAGGGAGATCAAGTATAGTGACTGCGTGGTATGTATACATGTTGCCGTTTCTTACAGCCTGCTAGTAAGAGTAGGGATGTAAGCATACGGTGTCGCAACGTCCTGCTACTACTCGCAAATCGACGGTAATGTACCATGATGAGTGTTTTGTTCGTTACGTCTTCGCCTTAACTTGGGGTATAACGAGTTGAGGTATATGTGAAGTGGAGGATGCAGCTTGAAAAACTAACGGAGCTCCCTGAATGACATGAACCAGGCGAGCTAAAGCCCTAATGGTAGTAGCAAACAGGGAGTTCTGGGACGAGTGGCTGAAGGACTTTGCTTGCCGGGGTTGGTAGTCGGTGGCTGTGCATGGGGTCGGCTCGAGGGCCGGCCGCCGAATCCGATCAACGTTGCCGCTGCTCCCCGACGCCGACAACTTTTGTCCGCTCTGTTACCACCACCACGACGGTATCGGGTTGTCGTCCTCAAACATGGTTGCAACTGTCGAAATACTCTCAAAAAAGCACATGGGCTACAGATCATGGCTCGGGCGCCGTTGGTGAAGAGGCCATCTCATGATGTCGCTTATCTGGCTCCCTGCCACACTTCTAGTTTCCTGGTCACCGGTGCATCGGACGCGAGATCTGGCTACTTGTGGCTATGGTCAAGACAAAATACTGTTCATGATACTGGATGACCGAGCACGCGAGTCTCGGGTCACTTGACGAGGCCTCAGTAAGTCAGCGGCGTTGTTATCTCTTCCGACTCTTACGAACCCATAGATGAACTCCTGCTTATCGCAAGGTGTATATATACGTATGCATGCCTACTATCTAGTGTACACGCTCTTTGCTTGCTCCCAGCTCGGTCGCCATCTGTAGGCTAGCTGCATAGCGATGTCGAGCTTACTGAAGCGTCTCGAGGTGAAACGCGAGAACGAGTTTGAGGGGGAGTCCACAGCTTGGATCAACCGTGATATCATCCCTCTTCCTCCCTCACGAAGGACATGGGGAGCTTGGTCCTTCGTTGGCTACTGGCTCTTGACTGGTTTCAATATCAGTGGATGGTCCACAGCGTCTAGTCTTCTCGGACTAGGTCTCAATGTCTGGCAAGCTATGGTCTCCGTCGTCATAGGGCAGCTTATAGTCGCTTGTGCCGTCGTTGCGAACGGATTCGTTGGGGCCGAATGGCATGTCGGCTTTCCGATCTATAATCGATTCGTCTGGGGCGTGTACGGCAGCTTCTTCCCGCTGTTAATGCGCATACTCTTATCAATCGTGTGGTATGGCGTCCAGCTTGTATTGTGAGTAGTGTTCATCTCGCGGGCTTCATGCGGCGTCTTGCTTATTGAAGATCTCATCAGCGGGGGCATGAGCGTAAGAACCGTTCTGCTCAGTGTTCATGTCATGGCTACATTCTGATACTCCTATCAGGTCAAAGTTGTCATTGGCGCAATTTGGCCAAGTTTCTATACACTCCGGAATACGCTACCCGGGAGTGCGGGAATCGAGTAGTTCCCCTCAAATACGATCGAGCGACTTCCAACCTCTAAACAGGACCAACGATTTGATCGGTATCCTCATTTTCGCAGCACTTTCTGTGCCGCTCATGCTAGTACCGCCCGAGCACTTCCGAAAGCCATTCCTCGTAGGTAGCATCGTCATCACCATCACGACTTTCTCCATCTTCGTCTGGGCGGTTGCCAAGGAGGGAGGCGGTGGTCCTCTCCTCAGTCACCCTAGCAAGTTCAGCGGCGTCCAACCTCTCACTGGCGGCGCGAAACTAGGATGGGCGATGGCATATGGCATCAGCTCGACTATCGGTAGTATCTGCGCCGGGATCCTCAACCAAAGCGACTACACGCGCTTCGCATCATATCCCCGCGCGCAGATCGTCAGCCAGTTGGTGATCGTCCCCGTCAGCTCTATCACCATCGCACTATTTGGAGTCATTGTGACGAGTTGTGCCGCCGACTTCTATCCCGAAGAGGGCCTTCTCTGGGCTCCGTACGACTTGTTGCGCGCTATCCAGACCCATGGTGGACCCGGTGCACGAGCTGCATGCTTCTTTGCGGGTTGCTCGTTCGTCCTCTCGCAGTTTGGTATCAACATCCCTGGCAATGCAGTGTCCGGCGGTATCGACATGTCTGGGCTTCTTCCCAAGTACATCAACATCCGCAGGTAAGCTCCGTTATTACTTGGACCCTCGCTATTGCTAACCCGGGAGGGTCTCGCAGAGGAGCATATCTTACTGCAATCATCGGCATAGCGATTTGTCCCTGGAAGCTTCTCACAGGCTCAAGTATATTTCTGACGGTATTGAGCTCCTTCGCCATATTCCTTGGCCCCTTGACGGTTTGTGGAACTCCCGTTATTCACAGTGCGTTCAGCTCACCTCTTGTAATGTAGGGCGTAATGATCTCCGACTACCTCCTCGTGCGGCATTCGATGCTTCGGTTGGCGCATCTGTACATGCCCAACACACGCTCGATCTACTACTTTACCTACGGAGTCAACTTTCGCGCAGTGATCTCGTGGGTGTTTGGTGTCTGGCCGCTCATGCGTAAGTCCCGATCTCGACTCTGCGTCCCTTCTCCATCTGATGCCTAATGACGTTCCCTAGCTGGCTTTAGAAGCTCCGTATCTGCAAGTTCCGCGAGCGTCTCCGATGGGTGGATCCACGTATACGACCTTGCCTGGCCTCTTGGGTTCTCTATCAGCGCGTTCGTCCACGTCATCCTCAGCAAGGCGTTCCCACCCGTTGATTTGGGTGTGGTGGACGACGACGACGTTTTTGGCACCTTCTCCGAAAAAGACCATCTCAACGAATTGGTTGCTGCAGCAGCGAGTGAGACCGACTTGGAGAGCGTGTCAAAGAGCATGAGCGTGGTGTGCTCGTAGATGCTGTCAACTTCACCCGGCCTTTGTAACTATAGTGAGTTGACCGGCGAACATCGTGCTGAAGGTCACTCACCCATACCTTCAGGCAGACGTACACAATATTCTGATATCTCGATCACGTGCTGGGGCACCCTGACTAATTAGCGATGCTGAGTCTTGCCATAGGGCGCTATGCAACGAGACATGCAGGCGGCCCTCATGCGGTCTAAATGAAACCTTGGCGTTGGAGACATCATCTATAGGTCTGACGTCGCCGACGGACCACGTATGTTTCGGCTAAACAGGCCGACCCCTCATGGGAGTCCGGGCTGCTTTATGGCGAGCCTAGGTACCAGACGCGGTACAGCCGTCCTTCTTGGAATGTGAAGGCTGACTCAAACCCGCAGCCCCGTGCTCACGACGTCTAAAGTCAGGGTCATGCACCCCTCTCTCAGACACTCGTCATTCATTCCCGGTCCCACGAGACGCTCTAGGCTCTCTAAGGCGCAGGCCTTCTCGTGACCTTAGAGTTGGCGCATTCACATGGGCGATTCGCGCATATGCCGATCGACCGCGAACTAGCTGGGTACAAATGCGCACAGAGGGCATGCCGTGGCTACAGATCCACTCTTACCTACTTCATCGAACGCGATGTTTACTCCAAAGCCCGAAGAACTCGACATTTGGTTCCCATACCCGTCCTCCCCGCCCTCTTCGCAGGTTCCGTCCCGACTGCCAGGCATTACGTATGCATCGAGTGCTGCCTTAGCGACTGCCCTCAAAGACAACCACGTCAAGTGGCACGCATACTTCAATGACCTCGGTTTCCATAAGTGAGTCTCAGCGTGTCCCAATAATTAGACATATCTATGTTGACTATGGTGCAGCCATGCCTCCCATCATCTTGTAGCGGTCTACGCTCTAGGCGCTGGAGGACCCCTCATTGAGGCGGCTTACCAGACGCATGTCGCATACATGCGACCGGCTTTCGAGTCGCCTGAGCCGATTGACGAGAAGAACTTCTGGGTCCACCTGGGAAAGCGAGAGTAAGCCGACTGAAATGTGAATGACGACCTCCGTCTCACCGACATGGCGGCTACGCACAGGTTTTACAACTCGTATCTCGAGTTCTTCAGGGCCCAGCTACGCGATAAGGACATGGTAGATGTTCTCGAGGATTACGTATTCTCGTTCAAGGCCAATATTGGCGGCAGCGGAATCGAGGGTGAACCACACATGCTGCCCAGGTTCTATGCCGCTTTGGCCCACCCGATGATCCACATTGGCTGCGGACTGGAATTCGGCTTCTTCGGGCTAGTAGCAGAGGGTACGTCGAGGATTCTCTGAACATATCTCCACATTTACTCACACTTGCCTCATCAGGACTCGCTCAAGCTGCTACTCACAGGGACCAAGGGAAGGAACTGGTCCCTAATTCTCTCTTCCAGCAGCCAGGGGACTCTAGCTCCCGCTCGGTTTCCCGTCTATCGGCTCTGATACCGTCGCTTTCTCTGCGAAAGCGCCCTTCAGCCAGTGGACGCACCGCGAGTCACGGAGAGAAGACGCGCGCACCTCACGCGTTCACCATCCTCGCGCGGGTGCTCGCGAACTCGGCTTTCTCTGCTGCAGAGATCGGCTTGCCTTTACCGGAGGGATCGTCGCCTTTCGACCTCGTCACAGAGAAGGCCGGCAGCGCACTTGCTGAACTCGCAGCTGAATGGGCGGCTGATATGGATGGCGAAGGCGCCACCTCCATCACTATCCAGAAGAAGATAGAGGAGCTGGCGTGGATGAATGCAATCATCTACGGTGTGGCTGGTTGGGGTGGACGCGACAGGTCCCCGACCAGACAGTACAACGCCGACTTCTTCTTGTGAGTGCCGATTGAGTACTGCTGTGAACAACAGAATGCTGACGCGAAATGCCTAGCATGCATCTTGTGACCTCTTCGCTCTTTCTACCCTCCTTCGCCGCGTATCTCTCTCCCCGTTCTACAGCACTGCTCCTGCAGACGTACTTCGTCATGAGTCTCGCCTGGTATGTCGCACGCGGCCGCCCTGCCCTGCCGATCCGCGAGTTCTACGAAGCGACGACCTCGAAGCCGAGTCCTCCATCTCTCGGGAGCGAAGGCCCTGCTGCTGCAAAGGACACGTTGACCCCGGACGATGCCGCAGCGAACCCATGGCTCCCAATCATCCAAACGACGTTGACGCATCCCGGGGAGCACGTCTGCAAGCTCCAACGGGCGTTGATGCACAACGCGACTGTATACGGGACACGCGATGCCGGGCACTTCACTGGGACTGAGCTCGAGGGCGCCGAACTTCTCGACGGTACTCTCTTCATACGCGTCGCGGGATTGACCGCTGACAGGCTGGGATGGATGAAAGAGGGACAGGAGCAGGGTGAGTGGGATCGTGCTGGATTCTAGTGGCGATTTATCTTGGACGTCGAGTTGTGTGTACTACCTCGCTGTATGATAAGTGCAGTCGCCCTTGTCGTTCTTCAATCTGCTCCGAGTTAGGGCGGTCAGTATTCAGGATTGAGTCGCAAGGCAACACGAGATTGGCGGTAGGGTCTTTGGAGCAATGATAATCAAACAGCATATATACCATCTGCACAGACCACTTTTAACGGTTCAGTGGTGTAGTTGGTTATCACGTCTGTCTCACATTGGGTGTTCACAGGAGGTCTCCGGTTCGAGCCCGGACTGAACCACTTTTTTCCTCTCACACAGGTTGTTTTACGCCGTCCCCAGCGCTTGAATTGCAGGTACAAGTTCGTTGCAACCGCATTCATTCAACGATCGACTCTAGCTGCATCACCCACTTGGTAAACGAATACAGAGAGATGGGCAGTTGAGTCGTATTGCATAGCATACAGGTACTACTACAGAGTCTTCTTACCGCAGAAGGTACGGTGTGCAGAATGTCTACCACGAAACTGCTGGATTCTCACAATTCGGGCTATGACATCCTATCTAGGACCATAATACTAGCCCTCGACGTATCTCGCAGCAAACATCATGTCGACGATACCACCCGTAGCTAGCCCGACGAAACCGTCAGCGGCCCGCGGCCATATTCGCCTCTTGGTTTTCCTGTCATGCTGCACCACCCTCCTCACCATCTTCTTAACGACACTATCCTCCCAACTCTCGCTCTTCGACTCCTCGCCGCACATCCTCCTGCATCCAACTCCGCATCTCTCGATTCGACGTGCGCTCGCTTCTGCGTCCCTACGCTGGGACGTATTCTACTTCGCGCCCGTCGCGAAGGAAGGCTACGTCTATGAGCAACAATGGGCGTTCTTCCCCGGGGTGCCTCGTGTCATGCGAGCATGGGCTGTCTTCGCGGACACTTTGCGCCAGCTGGGACAGGGACAGCCTACTAGCGCGTCTCTGGAATGGGAGGACTTCCTGCTCGGAGGAAGCCTCACAGCCGCGCTCCTGTCTATACCGTCCGTGCTGGTGCTCTACGACCTCACACTCACGCATTTCGACTCGCCCTCGATTGCGTTGCTCGCGTCATTGATGTCCCTGCTGCCTAGCAGCCCGGCCACCTTGCGAATGGTAGGATATAGCGAGCCGTTCTTTACGTTCCTCTCCTATCTAGGTACTTGTTATTCCTCCCCTCGGAAGCCTCGACTTGACGACCATTGTGGTACAGGCATGCGATTCTGCGCGCACAAGCAGTGGTTCTTCGCAACATGCTGTTTCGCGCTGGCAAGCACGTTCCGCTCCAATGGGATCCTCATCGCCGGCTTCGTACTATGGGGCCTTGTGGTCGAACCACTGCTTACCCACCGCAAGGCACGTTTGAATATGGAGACCCTCCGATTCACGGCCGTGCCGACTAACCATATTTCTAGATCTACGTCGGTCGCATTCTATACACTATAGCGCTTTTCTCGATATCGGTCGCCTATTTCGTCTACTACCAGTACCAAGCATATCGACTCTTCTGCCAAGGAACGGACACCCCAGCGCCCTGGTGCAGCGCGTTCCCTCCGTCTATATATACCTATGTGCAGGGGAAGTACTGGAACGTCGGATTCCTGCGGTATTGGACCCTCCAGCAACTCCCAAACTTCCTTCTGGGCGCTCCCCCGCTGCTCCTGCTCATCTCCTTCGCTACTCACTACATCCGCCTCGCACTCGGCCCGCGCTTCATCACCTTCGTATCCGGACGTGCCACTGCGCGTCCGTCTGGGTCATCTCGCGATGACCGCACCATGCGGTCGCCATTCCTCTCGCCAGATATCGCGCCACACGTCATCCACGCACTTGTGCTCTGCTTCGTTCTCCTCTTCGCGTCGCACACCCAGATCGTGCTGAGGTTCGCCGCAGCGATGCCGCTCACGTACTGGGCTGCGGCGTGGCTCGTCGTCGAGCGGCCCGGATGGGCGAAATGGTGGATTGGCTGGAGCGTGCTCTGGGGGGCGACGAGCTGTGTTCTGTGGGGCGTCTTCCTTCCTCCGGCTTAGGCCAGAGCAGCAGGGGATAATAGACTAGTACATATAATCACAACAGAGGGTATAAGTACACAAGTACGACGTACATCTTGCTCGACTATCTATACATCGGACGACTCAGGAAGGAAGGAAGAATGGGTGGTATGGACCGGGCCGGCAAAGGAAAATTGCAGCGAATCAATGTGCGCTAAGTCAGGCATGACAAAGGAGGGTGCGGATGCTTGAGAGAAGTGGTGGTCGATTTGACGCAAGTTCAGTATGAAATGACAGATCAGTATAGAAGAAAGGCTAAGAAGTATATGCACGCATGAGCATCTGTGCCGTTAGCTCGCGGGCTAAGTAGATGAACTTACGGATCAAGGGTTTCGCTGATATAGCTCTCGGAGTAGAAGGCAAAGATCTATCAAGAGTACGATTAGTTTGATGCAGAATGCGATGAATTTCGATGCGACATACCGAGAGTACATAGAACACGATCTGCAAGATGTTCAAAACCATAAGGCACCTATATTACATTGATGCGATTAGTTCCGTAACTGTGAAAGCTCGGTCTGTAACACATACAAGAAGTATAAGGTACCTATGCGTTTTCGATCGCCTCAATATCCCAGCAATGTAAGAGACGAGACGAACGGACGAACCATTCTCTAGCATGACTTGGTGAAGTGTCGGCCCCTGAATCGTGTTCTTCGCAAGTCTCACTACTTTGTAGGAGGCGATCCAGGTCACAATGACGACCACCAAGTCGGATATAATGAGGGGAGCTCTTGCGAAGACGACCACTGAGATGGGCACCGTCAGAAGTTTACACTGCAACACATTGGCCTAGTCGCCTTACGTCTGTGTTCGACCAACGGTAAGGCTCGAGTATATCATCGAAGTAGACAAGATCAGGGCTCACATAATGTTGACAGTATAGGTCGATACAAAGAAAGCTTCACACCCAGTGTCACTGAAGACGAAGTTGATTTGATAGATTGCAGCCTGTTCCGTAACACCAGTCAGCACAGTTCGCACAATGGGGTTTCAGCAAACACTCTCACCATGTTGACTATGAACGGCCCGAGTCCAAGAAGCAGCACAACGGCGGACAGCGGTTTATTCTTCTGAGACAGCGCGTACACTCTCAGCGCGGAAAACACTGACCAATGAGATTAGAACATATTCGCTCTAGATATCCGGTTGATTAGACCTACACGCAGGTGCTATCATGGCGACGTATTTGAGGACTACGCTGAAGTAGATCGTCGCCACACAACTTCTTATCGCGTTCGACGTCAATCTAGGTTCGGGGTAAATCTCACATTGAGCTCACCTCTGGAGGAAGACGATGTTAGTTAAGCTATTCAGGCGATGTAGTAGCGTGACACACCTCAACCTTCAACACCCCGGAAAAGCCTGCCAGCAATGCGACGATATTGGACAGAAGAACACTGTAGCGACTGAACATGTACAAGGCGGACGCGGCTGTCTTTGGCTTGCTCCAGATGACAACGCTTTCCTGGCCGAGGGAGGTGAGCCAGTCATACACCAGCAATGCTACGAGCAAGAGATATAGTTCAGACAGTGATACACCAGTCCAACGCTGTGCTCATTCGCACCTAGGCAAGCATAGCCTATAGCGTTGTAATCGAACCTGGTGTACACATGGAGATAAGCGAATGGTCAAACCGCATAGAGGCACAAAGGCTACACTTACATCCCCTGATATGCTTGTATCAGTGCTGCTACATCGGCGGAAGACGACATGGCGAGCTAGCTAGTCTGGGGTTCGGATTGGGGAGGTGGAGAATCGAAGGACAGGTATGCCCTAATTTCCTCACAAGCTCTGCCTCGCATTTTTATACCGTACTACATAGAAGCACGCCTTGACACATAGAATCCGTCGTCGCAGGGTGGCTACGGTCAGACCAGATGGTACAGGTCTTTGTAGCTTCTTCGACTGCGTCTAGGGCTGTTGCAGTAGCTGGGCGAGAAAAGAAGCGGTCGATTGCAGTAACATCGACGGAGGTGCACGAGCACAGCTTGAGAGAAGATCCCGGAGTCGGACGTAGCGGACTTCAAGAACAGTCCCATTGACAGGGTAACGAACACGCATCTCGAAGACGACATAAGCTACTAGCTGCGTAGGTCAAAGGGTTCGATCCTCGATCCCCATACTTTTCTACGTCGGGCAGTGTCTGTCCCGCCTCTTGTGAGCCTCCGACGGGCGAAGGCGACCTTGGACGAACCGTCGGAGTCTTGCGCTGCGCGTCTACTGACAGATGGATGTGCTGTTGACAAGGCCACCAACTGGTGGAAGATCCTCGGATGATGCGATATCATGGCATTGACCTGAGCCATGAACGCGGCTGATAAGTGTGTATTGGGTGTCCCGGTCACAGCCATTAGAAGTCAAGAAAGCCCAAGGTGGCCGACTCTTCGTAGTAGCATCGATATCGCACAACGGCGTCCTCCGGAGGAACAGCGACGTGAGCGCATTGACGTGAATGCGGATCCAGATTTGGACGCGCCAACGGGCGCCTACACGTTCGCGCATCCTGACAGTCGCGACTCGCGAATGAGAAGGTCGGTATTCGGTCTGACCACTTTCAAGGATCATGCCACCTGCATATGTCGGTGACTGGAGCCAGAAATCAAACGGAGGTCGAGCGGCGGCTGGAGCAGGCCAGATGAGCGAGACTTGTGGGCCTTTGTGGCGGCCAGAGTGGAGGATGGGGAAGCCACGTGAGGAAAAGGATAGCCGAGTCGTACGACAACCGCTTGCGGGGCGTCTGAAAAATCAAAGCAACCAGGTCTTAAAACCGCCCACGCTGCGCTCTCACACCCATCCCCCACGGCGGTTGTCTCTTCCTCTTTCGCCCAGTCCTCCCTTGCCATAGGCGCAGTAGACCGGGACCACCATCTGGACGCTTGACGCCGACGACAGCGACGCTCACGCCCACCATGAACTCGACCGCCTCGTCTGTGCATCCCGACTCGGCGATGCTCTACGCGAACACGGACTTCTCGCAGCTCAACTGGCTCGAGATGCAGTGGGTCAACTGGTACCTCTGGATCGGCAACCCCGTCATCGCGACGGGTCTCATGAGTTTCCTCCTGCATGAGGTGCGTACGCGCTTTTTGGGACGCGCTTTTGGCTCGATACCAATTCAATGTCCTGCAGATTGTCTACTTTGGCCGCTGCATCCCATGGATCATCATCGACTCCATTCCGTACTTCAGGAAGTGGAAGTTGCAGCCCA